AAGAGGAAACTCCGTCCTCTCCTGCCCTTTCCCTCTTTCTCAGCAGCTGTGGCTGCACCAACACAGGAGCTCCCCTTCGAGCTTGTGAGCACAGGTCGGACTTAATCCAAAGGACTGGAACTGCTTGGGTCTCCAGTCTGCATCCATCTCTAGAATCTTGGACCAGTTTGTACCCATCAGACCAAACAGTACAAAACTTAGGAGAAAAAGTTTTATCAATACCATTATCTATTGCTTCCAAACAAGGGAATCATAAATGAAATATACAGCACTTCCCCCCTTCTCACTTCCCAAAAGAACCTCAGTTTTGTCCAGATGCCAGCCACTCCCCCAAGCAGCCCATACACCTCCTAGAAAGGGGCTGACTGTTCTGCATAATCTCATTCCCTCTCCAGTGATGAGGTTCAACAGTGGGCATATACTCCCAAAATAGCCTGTGAGACCCTGGAGGAAGTCTGCTGGGGCAAGCCTAGGAAAAGAAAGGAAGCATTCTCTCTTCTTCCTCAGACACTGTCCAGCCAAGGACGGCTGAGCAGAGAGATGGAAAGAACTTGAGTTCTTAAAGCATTTTGAGCTGCTAAAACAGCTAACCCTGATCTGATCCTCCCATGAGATTTACGCTTTGATCCAATCAGAGTCATGATTTGAAGACCTTGAAGCCAAAACATCCTGATGTGGCAGAAACGTCCTTTTTGCTGCCAGGGCTCTGGAATCTGGAAAAGAGCCCCCTAAGTACTACCTACCTACCTGAGTACTACCTACCTCACTTCCCAAAGTCGTGATATTGACAAACACAGCTTACAGCAAGCACGTTTTAGACGAACATTACATATCTAATACTCAAGGGTTGCAACACTGCAGCAATGTTTCTACTATAATAGAACTTTGAATGCTTTCCTCCTTCAAACTGTCCAAAAGGTCTACCTATTCGTTTCCGTAAATATAACAATTTTGATTATATCATTTTCCTTCCATCCATTCAGGCACTAATCTTAGTAGCCAATGAAAATGACCAACAAGGTCCCTGATCTTTGGAGTTCACATCTAGTTGGGGAGATAGATGAACCAGAAAAGAAGTATGCAAATAAGTGACTTCAGGTCATGAAAAGTGTTGAGGAGAAATTAAAACCAAGGAATGTTACAGAGTGACTTGCAGCAGAGTTGGGGTGGGGAGATTAGACTGACGGTCAGGAAAGGCTCTCTGAGAAGGTGATGTTTGAGCTTAGACCTGGATGATGAGAAAACAGCAGCTATGAGAAGGAGAAAGAACATTCCAGGAAGAGGAAGTATCAACTGCAAAAGCCCTAAGGTGGGAAATAGATTGATGTGACTCTAGTTGTTTCTTCCTTTTCTTAATGAGAATATTTACTAACTCATTATTATCAATGAACAGTTGAAAGTGTACTTTTCCAGGGAACCCTCCTATACTGCTGGTGGGAATGTAAGTTGGTGCAGCCACTATGGAAAACAGTACGGAGGTTCCTCAGAAAACTAAAAACAGAGTTGCCATATGATCCAGCAATCCCACTGCTGGCATGTAACCAGACAAAACTAAAACTATAATTCAAAAAGATACATGCAATCAAGACAGTATGGTACCGGCACAAAAACAGAAATATAGATCAATGGAACAGGATAGAAAGCCCAGAAGTAAACCCACACACATATGGTCACCTTATCTTTGACAAAGTAGGCAAGAATATACAATGGAGAAAAGACAGCCTCTTCAATAAGTGGTGCTGGGAAAACTGGACAGCTACATGTAAAAGAATGAAATTAGAACATTTCCTAACATCATACACAAAGATAAACTCAAGATGGATTAAAGACCTAAATGTAAGGGCAGACACTATAAAACTCTTAGAGGAAAACATAGGCAGAAAACTGTATGACATAAATCACAGCAAGATCTTATTTGACCCACCTCTTAGAGTAATGGAAATAAAAACAAAAATAAACAAATGGGACCTAATGAAACTTAAAAGCTTTTGCACAGCAAAGGAAACCATAAACAAGATGAAAAGACAACCCTCAGAATGGGAGAAAATATTTGCAAAGGAAGCAACTGACAAAGGATTAATCTCCAAAATATACAAGCAGCTCATGCAGCTCAATATCAAAAAAACAAACAACCCAATCCAAAAATGGGCAGAAGACCTAAATAGACATTTCTCCAAAGAAGATATATAGATTGCCAACAAACACATGAAAAGATGCTCAGCATCACTAATCATTAAGAGAAATGCAGATCAAAACCACAATGAGGTATCACCTCACACCGGCCAGAATGGGCATCATCAAAAAATCTAGAAACAATAAGTGCTGGAGAGGGTGTGGAGAAAAGGGAACCCTCTTGCACTGTTGGTTGGAATGTAAATTGCTACAGCCACTATGGAGAACAGTATGGAGATTCCTTAAAAAACTAAAAATAGAACTACCATATGACCCAGCAATCCCACTACTGGGCATATACCCTGAGAAAACCATAATTCAAAAAGAGTCATGTACCACAATGTTCACTGCAGCACTATTTACAATAGCCAGGACATGGAAACAACCAAAATGTCCATTGACAGATGAATGGATAAAGAAGATGTGGCACATATATACAATGGAATATTTCTCAGCCATAAAAAGGAACGAAATTGAGTTACGTGTAGTGAGGTAGATGGACTTAGAGTCTGTCATACAGAGTGAAGTAAGTCAGAAAGAGAAAATAAATACTGCATGCTAACTCATATATATGGAATCTAGAAAAATGGTACTGATGAACCTGGGCAGGAATAAAGATGCAGATGTTGAGAACGGACTTGAGGACACAGCGGGGGAAGAGGAGGCTGGGATGTAGTGAGAGAGTAGCACTGACATATATACACTACCAAATGTAAAATAGATAGCTAGTGGGAAGCTGCTGCATAGCACAGGGAGATCAGCTCGATGCTTTGCACGACCTAGAGGGGTGGGATAGGGAGGGTGAAAGGGAGGCTCAAGAGGGAGGGGATATGGGGATATATGTATGCATATAGCTGATTCACTTTGTTGCACAGCAGAAACTAACACAACACTGTAAAGCAACTATACTCCAATAAAGATTAAAAAAAAGAAAAGACACATGCACCCCTATGTTCATAGCAGCACTACTCACAATAGCCAAAACATGGAAACAACCTAAATGTCCATCAACAGATGAATGGATAAAGAAGATGTGGTGTATATATATACAATGGAATACTCCCCAGCCATAAAAAAGAACAAAATAATGCCATTTGCAGCAACATGGATGCAACTAGAGATTATCATACTAAGTGAAGTAAGTCAGAAAGAGAAAGACAGATGCCATATGATATCACTTATATGTGGAATCTAAAATACGGCACAAATGGACTTATCTACAAAACAGAAACAGACTCACAGACATAGAGGACAAACTTGTGGTTGCCAAGGGGGAGTGGGAGAGGTAGAGGGATGGACTGGGAGTTTGGGGTTAGTAGATGCAAACTATTACATTTTGAATGGATAAACAACAAGGTCCTACTGTATAGCACAGGGATCTATATCCAATCTCCTTAGATAAACCATATTGGAAAAGAATGTAAAAAAAGAATGCATATATGTGTGTATAACTGAGTCACTGTGCTGTACAGCAGAAATTAGCACAACACTGTAAATCAACTGTACTTTAGTAAAAAAAATAGAGAATAAAAATAAGGAAGTATACTTTTCCACATTTGCTCAGTTTTTGCAATGATATCCATATTATTAGAATATATTCAAGGCTTTGATCATATTTGTCTTATTAAAGATATAAGAAAAAGAACTTAGATCAGAGAGGAAGTTTAGGAATTTTTCATACACAATTTTCAAAAGCTGTATTATCAAAAAAATAATGGCTAAGTTTGTTTTTCATGTGACCGACTAGATTACCCAGAGAGGAATAATTAAAATACTGTGTTTCCTATGAACCATGGCAGGTAATTTTCAAAAGCCCTTATCACATGGAGGAAGCCAGACTCTTCTTAGGAAGTGGTAGCAGATGCGGGGCTCCAGGTGGACATATCTAGGATGTATTCATAAAAGGGAACCACTTCAGTAACTGCCCTCTCTTCCCAGGCCCCAGAGCTCTTTCAGATGCCATGACTGCTACATCAAGTTCTGTTACAGAAAATTCACAATGACTGTATTTCCCCCTGAAACGCCGTTAATTTCCCTTGTGGATAACAGAAACATGACTTATATCATACAATGTGAAACAGTATTTCAAAAAACAATTTCAAGGAACATTTTTACCAAAAATATCTAGCAGCAAAGTGTTGTATTTGTTTTCCTTTGACTTGCCTCACTATCCTGGAGAATTCCTGCCACTTCCCTCCCATTCTCCTCCTTTCTTTCATATGACAAATGAGAAAGCTTTTCTGTTTGAGGTGAGAGCCAGGTAGAAATGCCAGCTCTTCACTTGACAGAGACAAAAGTGAAGGAAACCCAAGCTCTGAGAAAACACAGACTGATTTCAAGCCAATTAGCTATGTCAGAGGCAAAAAAAAAAAAAGCTGATTCTTTTTCATTCTTACAGAAACAGCCATCATGACATCCACAGTTGGCATCCTATTAATGATTAAAATTATGTAATCTGTCCTTAGTCAAAATTCTGCTACACAGAGAAATCCCAGCATCTCTACTTCATGATACCAAAGGTGTATTATCCTAAAATTTTACTCCATTAATAAAAAGATTTGGGGTGTTGACAGATGTGGTGGGTTTTTGGCAAAAACAACTAAAGTTTTGCTCTGGGGAATCAGTGAGACTCACTAGATTCAAATCACTTCCAACTTCTGATGGGTCACATCCGGACCAAGCTTGGCTTGTCACATAGAGAACAAAGCAGCCAATACAGACAAGCACTGGAGAGTAAACATCAGTGCAGTGCTGTGGTCCTTCCTGTGTTTACACAGCCCAGTGATGGAAGAATCACTGAAGCTCAGGGGACTGGTCCTAATCTGGCTTTGCCATTTCCCCAACTCCTAGAGTCTCTGCCCTTTCTGCCATCTTCCTTCCTCTGCATCACGGGGGAGTTCTTGGTGACGCGCATTGACATTGTTCTCCCACTCAAGGGCTTTAAGCTCTTTTCCCAGGTGCTTCATTCCAGGGCCCTTAGACCCAACCCCTTCTATGGTGATGTCCAACCCCCTGTTCCAGTCACCCCCACCTCTTCTACAACAGCCCTTTCTGCTATCTCCCTACTTCCCTTTCCTATCAGAATCCATCCTTCATGCGGCTGCAGAATTCCTCCATAATTGACATTCCCAGGGTTCTCCCTAATTAAGAATTTAATGTAGCTTCCTTCTGCTTGCCAGATGAAAGCCTCACTGGTCTACTTGGACCCCTCAGCCCTTCAGAAATTTAAGCCCTTCCCGTCTCACCATTCCAATAAGCAGATGTGTGTGCCCGACATCATAATGCCTGACATTATGACCACTAGACTGTAAGTTCCTTAAGTGAAGGGACTTTTTTTTCTGGCTCACTCATTGCTATATCACTAGTTGAATGAATAAATGAATTTTGGATTGTGACATTTGTCAACATGAGATTTCCTTCAGTTGGAATTCTATTCCCCTCTTTCTCCACCAAATCTTTTTCCTTGTCACCTTCAAAATCAAGCTCCCCTCCGTATGCTTCAAAGTTCAATTGTTCCAGTAGCCCTCTCTTCATGTGCTACCTCTAGATATTTAATGGATTGGCCGATTTCGGTTTGGGAGTCCTATAGTTGTTGTTTCATTCATTGTTCAATTAGTCAACAATTATTTATTGAATGCATTATACTATTCACTAGACCTGCCCTAGGCTCTGAGCTACAGTAGTGAACAAATCAAATAAACATCCCCATCCTCATGGTGCTTAGATGTTAGTCTGAAAGAAAAGACAATAAGCAAGATAAGTAACATTTATGGTATGTTACATAATTATAAGTGCTAAGGAGAGAGAAAAAGCAGGTGAAGAGGCAGGATAGGGTAATTAGGAAAGACCTGAGATGGTGATATTAAAAGTGATAGGAATAAAGAGAAAGCAAGCATACCACTTGGGCAATAGAATTTAAGGGAACTGGAACTGCATGTGCAAAGGACCTGGGGTGGAACAGTGCCTGGCCATAAGGCCAGTGTGGCTGGATGAATGATGAAGGGGAAAATAGTAAGAGATGGTCAGGGGTGGGGTCACTGGGTGCCTTGCTTGTGAGGCCTTGCAGGTTCTGGTGAGGGCTTTTTTATCTTACTCTAAGTGATCCGACTTACTTCTAATCATTTGTGTAATTTACACTCAGCACCATAGGGGTAAACAAGGAACCACCAGGAACCTTTGAAGTACCTGGACAGGAAGGGTGTGGTCTTTTAGGCGGCACACCCGTCTCTTGTGATGAGGTGCTGAGGCACCCCCATGAAGTCAGGTCATAGGACAACCACACAGTCAAGTGTGGACTGAGCGTGGCTCTGCTTGTGCCAAGACCAGAGCTGAGAAGACACATCCAGGAGGAGCAAGTACCATATTGTGATAGGTCTTCTCTATACCTTCTGGGCTTCTTGGTGACCCAGGACTGGTGAATCTTTGCTGAGAGAGCACCATTATGAGGGGTCACCAAGCCAACAGTCACCAGGATCCATCAGTAGAAAGCCAAACTCCACAGACTTCTGAAGGGTGGCTCAAGCTAGAGCAGAGTCCAAACAACCTCGCCTTTGCTCAGTCTCTCTAAGCCTCCAACTCCTTGCATGAAAAATGGGAGTCACAATAGTACGGAATTCATAGGGTTGCTAGGTAAGAGTCAGTGAGCAAACAATTTACATAACAACCTACAAAAGAGCCCTCGATGCATTCCAGATTCTGCTCTCAGCACTTTAAACACAGCAACTAATTTAACCTTCACAACACTCCTGTGAGGTAGTACTATTATCATCATCTGTATCAGTTTCCTAGAGCTGCCACAACAAATTACCACAAACATGGTGACTTAAAACAATAGAATTTTACTCTCTCACAATTCCGGAGGCCAGAAGTCCACAATCAAGGTGCCAACAGGGCCAAAGACTCTGGAGAGATTCCTTTCTTGCTTTGTCCAGCTTCTGGTAGCTCCCAGCATTCCTTGGTTTATGGCTGCATCACTCCAATATCTGCCTCTGTCTGTACATGGCCTTTTTCCCTGTCTCTGTGTGTATCAAATTTCCCTCTCCTTTCTCTTAGGAGGACACCAGTCATTAGATTTAGGGCCCATCCTAAAGCCAGAATGATCTCAAGATCCTTAATTACATCTGCAAAGACTTTACTTCCAAATAAGGTCACAAATTACAGGTACTATTATTATCCTCATTATTGTCACTTTACAGGTGAGGAAACTGAGTCAGAGAGAGCTTAAGAAGATTGCCCAAACTTACACTGATGTAAATGTTGGGACCAGGAATTAAAGTCAGGCATTCTGGATCCAGAGGCCAGGCTTTTAGCCCCCACCCTACCCTACACCACATGACTGAGGCTTAGTACAGTGCCTGTTGTGTGGTACTAGAGCTGTACGTAGACGCCAACCTCATTATCCAGAAGTGAAAAGTGACTGACTTTGAGGATTTGGCTGAAGGGGTTGTCTGGACTGCTGTCACTGATGACACCAGACAATGTTATATTTTTAAAATATGAAGTCTTAGAGAACGGACTGGAGGGCACAGTGGGGGAAGGGGAAGCTGGGACGAAGTGAGAGAGTAGCACTGACATATACACACTACCAAATGTAGAATAGATAGCTAGCAGGAAGCTGCTGCATAGCACAGGGAGATCAGCTCGGTGCTGTGTGACCACCTAGAGGGGTAGGATAGGGAGGGTGGAAGGGAGGCTCAGAGAGAGGGGATATGGGGACATATGTATACATATAACTGATTCACTTTGTTGTACAGCAGATACTAACACAATATTGTAAAGCATTTATACTCTAATAAAGATGTGAAAAAATAAAATAAAATATGAAGTCTCTCGGTCCCTGATGGTCAGAAGCTAGCAGCTAAGAGGCAGAGGCTGGGATTACCGTTCCTAGGGAGGTTAAGGGACTTGCTCAAAGTCACACAGCTTGCAATTGGCAGAGCAGTGACTGGATCCAAGTCTCTCAACTCCACTCCACTGCCTCAAGCACTGCCCTGCGTTAGAGATGCATAGAAATTACTCAGCTTCATTCCTTCTCAGGAAAAGAACTCACCCAAAGTTCTGTTCAAATAGAAAGATCTTACATTTCACACACCCCCCATATTCTCCCAATTAATAAATCCAGAGTCAAGTTTGAGGATAAAGCAGTTTAATTTGGTGGGGTTTTTTTCCTGGCTGCTTTTAAGTCGAGGAAGTCAGTACAATGTCAATAAATAGACAAATACTAAAAATGTACTTCAAGGCCTCAATGATGACCAGTTAGTTAAAGGGTGAAAAGGAGAGGGAGGGAAAACAAGATAGACTCAGACTTGGGAGAAGGAGCCAGAGCA